CCAGTCACAGTCACCCTTGCGACACCAACAGCAGATTCGACCTCTGATTTTCAATTCTCGGTAAAGAAAGAGCGCGTTACTACGACCCTGATTTTCAATTCTCGACCCTGAACATTCAGAGTTCACTACTTCTCAACCCTGAGCAATCAGGGTGCTGTTTTTCTGGAAAATGTGCCTTCAGGGTAATTTTGTTTTTTTTAGGTTGAAATCAGGGTACCTAAATTTGAAACGTCAGCCCTGCCCTAACCGTGTGCTACAATTGGGGTGTTGTTTAAACCGGAAGGGAACAACAGTGCGGAAGAGGGGGCTGTTCCATCGCAAGGGTTTCGCTTGGACAATATTTGTTGAGTGGTTGAGTTGGGTGGCATGTTGTTGAAGAGAGAATGTCGAAGCGAAAGTCTGTGCACGATGGAGAAAAAAAAACGAGACTACAGTGCATGAACGAATGGCGCTCAGGACAAAGTTTGCGAAGAAGACCGTGAACTAAGAGTTTTTTTTTTCTTTCTTTTTTTCTTTTTTTGATACACGTAACGCGTACAACTGGTTGAGGTCCACATGGGACAGACAAGAAAACGCGCTCAAGTGTAAAACTTCCAAGAAACGAGAAAACAGATCAAACTTCCAAGAAAACGCTCTAGAGTCAGGTCAAAGTTAAGAAAATACGCGGTAGAAGGGTCAAACTTCCACAAAATGGCATCTGAATTCCGAATAGTTAGTTGCGTGGTACCAACAAGAACAGTTGATTCTTCAGCCACTAAATTGCAAAATTGATGGGTGGGTAAATTTGGTTGGTTTGGATAGGAATATATTCCCTTTATCTGCATTAAGGTTAATATGAACAGGAATTATTATACAGGTTCTATGAAAAATGATTTGCTAATGGATCAAATCATATAGAGATCACCACTATTTTTTTTATTGAATGCGCAGCCTACTAATAATACATTTTCAACCGGTCTACTAGGTTTTCTTTACGCCCTAACACAGCAGCTAGCCATCCAACCAACCCAGCAACAGTCTCCCTCAATTTTCGTTACCTCATACGCAGACGATACCTACTTGGTCGGCCCTCCCTCAGACGTCTTTTCCGCATACAATGACCTTACCTCCCGCCTTCTCTCTCTTGGCCTTACTGTCCAACCCTCTAAGTGCTCTCTATGGTGTCAGAATGTTATATTTGTCTAGCCTGTAGTGGGGTACTCAATAGTGAATACAGCCCAATCTAGGGTTTGCTATATGTACTCAACTGCTTGCTAGTGACATCATTCCCTCACATTCCTGTTTCAATCTTCACATGGTATCAGAGCTGGTTCCCTACTGGGACCGATCCTTCCTAGGGCCCACCACTTCGCTAAACTTTTTTTATGCCCTGCCCTTAGTGCGTTTCGCGCTCTGCCCTGCTGCCCGTCGCGGCCCTTCGTGGCCCCTTCGTGGCCCCTTCGCGACCCCGTCGCGGCCCTGTCGCGGCCCCTTCACGGCCCCTTCGTGGCCCCTTCGCGACCTCGTCGCGGCCCTGTCGCGGCCCCTTCACGGCCCCTTAGCGGCCCCTTCACGGCCCCGTCGCGGCCCCTTCACGGCCCAGTCACGGCCCCGTACCGGCCCCTTCACGGCCCCACCCCGTCGCGACCCCGTAGCGACCCCGTCGCAGCCCCGTCGCGACCCCGTCGCGACCCCGTCGCGGCCCCGTCGCGAACCAGTCGCGGCCCCGTCGCGAACCCGTCGCGAACCCGTCGCGGCCCCTTCACGGCCCCGTCGCGGCCCCGTCGCGGCCCCTTCACGGCCCCGTCGCGGCCCCCCGTCGCGGCCCCCCGTCGCGCCCCCCCCGTCGCGGCCCCCTGTCGCGGCCCCCCGTCGCGGCCCTCTGTCGCGGCCCCCCGTCGCGGCCCCCGTCGCGGCCCCCTGTCGCGGCCCTGTCGCGGCCCTGCCCCGGCCCTGCCCCGACCCTGCCCCGTCCCTGCCCCTGCCCTGTCGCGGCCCTGTCGAGCCCTGCCCCGGCCCTGCCCCGAATCTGCCCCGGCCCCGCCCCGGCCATGCTCCGTCGCCTGTCGCGGCGCACCGAGGACCCGTGCACCGCCCCCCCCCTCTTTTCCCGTCGCCCGTCGCGGCTCCCTGGGGGGCCGCGAGGGGCGACCTGGGGGGGGGGGCGAGCGTCGCCCCTTCTGCCGCTTGTTTTGGCGCCCTGGGAGGCCGCGCGTCGCCCCCCCCCCCCCCCCCCCCCCCCCCCCCCCCCCCCGTAACCTCCCTACCCGCCATCCCGCCCTGCCCTGTGTTAGGGTTTGGGGGTGGCGAGTAGGGGGTGGCGGGTGTGTGGTCTCCCCTGCTCCTCCTCCTCCTCTGTCTCCCACTGCTGCAGCTGCCGCTGAGGGGGGTGGGTGTGTGGGAGCCGATGGAGTGGTGCTAGGGGGTGGAGTGTGAGTGAACCTAGAGGTGCAGCAGGGGGTGTGTGAAAGGGGGGTGGAACAGTTTGGGGAGGTTGAAGGGGGGTGGCCGCCGTGAAGCCAGCAGCTCCAGTCGCCCGTGAGCCCGTTGCGCCAATCGCCCGTAAGCCCGTTGCTCCAGTTGCCCGAGAGCCCGTTGCGCCAGTCGCCCGTGGGTCCGTTGCTCCTGCCGCTCAGAGTTAGCCGCGGAGCCAGTTACTCCAGTTGCCCGTGTGCCAGTTGCTCCAGTTGCCAGTGTGCCAGTTGCTCCAGTAGCCCGAGTGCCAGTTGCTCCAGTTGCGCCGTGTGCCAGCAGCTTCAGCTGCCGCCCACTACCTCCTCTCCTCTCATAGTCCCTCCTCCTCCACACTTGCCCTCTGTGATAGCCTCTAGCTTTACTTATTATTGTGAACTATTGCTTGCTTACTTGTGCTCAGAATGTGTGGTGACATTGTGATCCACCCTGAGCTTGTTTTTTGCTTTGCTTTGCTTCTTGTGCTGATTACACCCCACTTTGGCTATGGGGGTGTGTCAGAATGTTATATTTGTCTAGCCTGCAGTGGGGTACTCAATAGTGAGTACAGCCCAATCTAGGGTTTGCTATATGTACTCAACTGCTTGCTAGTGACATCATTCCCTCACATTCCTGTTTCAATCTTCACATATGGGCCCCTATGGACTTGCCCGAACACTGCATTCCGCCCCCGGGTATTTCCATCGCTGCAAACGGTCTCACTGTGGCTGGAGTTCCCACCGGCTCAGACGGTTTTATCATCTCTACAGTTCGTGACAAGCTCGATTCTTTCACTACCTCCCTCCCTTTACTGCATCAACTGCAGGACCCACAGGTTGCCTCACGGATCCTTTCCTTATGCATCACTGCCCGACCTTCTTTCCTCCTCAGAACGGTCGCACCTTTTCCCGAAATCCAAGAGCTACTCTCTTCATGGGACAGCACGATTTTCAGCCACTTCTCTCAGCTCCTGGGCTCCGAGTACTGGAATCCCACCTCTGAACAGTCCACATCGGCCCGCCTCCAAGCCTCGCTCCCTATCCGCTTAGGTGGCTTCGGCATTCGCAGCTCTGCATCCATCGCCCCCCTCAGTTACCTTTGCAGCTGGGCGCAGGCAGTTTCGACCCTATCCACCCACTTCATCACTGATGGTGCTCCTCTTTTCCGCCCTTACGTCACCACGGACTCCATTAACCTCCTCGACCCTTCAATCTCATCTACCATGACCATGCTTCCCCAAGACATTCGTGACCGCTTCCCATCATGGCCTGTGCTTCAATCGGGCTACCCTCCTAAACTCTTTACTCACCTCTCCCAACACCTCGAAGCCGATTTGCTGGAGAAGGTTCGAGCCACAGTAACGTCCCCGCTTCGCCTTGCTCGTCTAACCTCTTTGCAGGGCCCGCATGCAGGTGACTGGCTCACTGTGGCTCCATCCTCCCCGCACATGCAGCTTTCAGAGACCGAGTGGCGCATTGCAGCAGCTATCCGCTTAGGCCTTCCTCTTCCTCACCTTTCATCTTCACTCACCTGCACCTGCAACTCCCCGTTCACCGATCCTTCCATCCATTCTCATGTCCTTCGCTGCCCTAGCAACAACGAGCCTACTAAGGTGCACGGCGTAATCAAACGAGAAGTTCATCGCATTGCCTTGGAGCTTGGGTTCTCTGCGCAGATGGAAGACCAGCATCTCCTGCCTGGCCGCCGCACAGACATCACGTGCCGCGACATTAGCTCTGGTACCACCTGTGCCTTGGATGTTTCTATTGCTGATCCACAAAAGGGGTTTCCACACTCCAACGCAGCTACGGTGATTGGTTCAGCAGCAGCCACTCGTGAAAGTGAGAAGACCACCCACTATGCTGCAGCACTTCGTGACCGTCCAGACGTCAAACTGTTTCCCCTTGTCATCGAAACCTTCGGTTGCTTCGGCTCATCGTTCAACAATTTCCTACGCCAATGCAGCCGCAAAGGGGCTTCACAACTCCGTGACTTGAGTGGTGCTACAGATTTCCTTCCCCTGCTGTTTGAGACCAACTTCTACAAACGGATTTCTCTGGTCCATCAACGTGAGCAGTCTCGCACTGTTTGTCGTCATGCACAAATTCGTTTTACCGAGGGCGTCAACCACGCACCACCCGAGGTGACTTCTCTTTCTGCAGCTGACTTTGCCTACTTTGGAGAGGACCACTGAGACATCTCAGAGGCCTATTTGTAGGCCTCACAATAGGATTAGCCTGCATGTCTTTCCATACACTAGATGCTTGGATTTGTCTTGTATCCATTGTACATTTACTATAGTGTCAATGAAGAGGTTATGCAGCCATATTAGACCTCTAGGCATCATTACACCCATAGATTGATGCAGGTCAAATGGTAGCTAACGTCAAATAAGCCTCGAGGGCCTTTGGAAGCTCAGCCTGATAAGAAACAGGCCTTACTATGATGACTAGTACCGTGGTATCAAAGTGGGTTGTACCTTAGGGGAGCGACCAGCAGAGCGTTGCGAGTTTCGTCAGCCTGGGGGTGTCATTCCCCTGAGCACAGCATTTCGTCATTAGCTCCGCGCTATGGCGGCTCGGCGAATCCCCGCTACCGTGGCCGCACTTGCCGCCGCAACTGCCGCTGGATTCGCGTCCGCGATCGCCGTTCTCGTCCTCTCGCGACCGCTCCACTCGCTTCCCGCGATCCTCCATGCCTTCCTCCTCCGCATCCTGCGCCGCATCACACGCACCTTCCTCCCTAATTGCGCTGGCTCCACATTACTCCATAACACGCGATCCGCCCTCTCGTCGTCTATCGAGACGCCTCGAGTCTCGTCGCTACCCTCATCGTTCAATCAAAATGCACCGCCCGAGTCTCACTGCCGCGTCGATATGGTCGGCTGGGATTCTCTCCACGGCGTCGCTCCCCGCGATATCGACCGCTTCAAAGATTCCCCCGCAGTAGATGCGACTTGCTGTGCGACTGGCATGGAGCCTACGTCTCATACTCGCGACGGGCCAAGAGCTGCGATCGGCCATTGTAAAAGCCACGAAGCTTCGCGGAAGGGCGGCGACGGGCTGGTGGCGGCGATCGGCAACACGCCGCTGATTCGCATCGCGAGTCTGTCCGCCGCGACTGGCTGCGAGATCTACGGCAAGGCGGAGTTCGTCAACCCGGGCGGCAGCGTTAAAGACCGCGTGGCGCTACGGATCGTGCAGGAGGTAATAATTCTGGATATTATAGAACGCGCCGCGGCCCGTAACATTGCAATCGCTGCACTGCGCCGCTCGTCATAGCCCTCCTTTGCTTTCTCTTTCCAAGTTTCACCTTCCTCCTTTTTGTCCCTTTCGTTCGGTCTCCTTTCCTAACCCTCTCACTCACTCACCCACCCTTTTTTGGTTTTCTCCCCTTTCATTCGCCAGGCCTTGGAGTCCCTCCTTTCTTTCCCCCTCCTTTGTTCATCTCTCAACTCCTCTGCCCTTGTTTTCTCCAATCTCAATCGACAGTCCCTCCCTCCCTCAAGTCTAGGCAGACTTATGAATCGACTCAAAAGTCATTTTCACTTGCCTGGCCCTCCTTCAAGTCTGGGCAGCTGAAACCCAGAGGGCTGATTTCGGAGGGCATTTTTTCCCGGGCTTTCCCTCTAATCCGTTCTCCTATCGTTCTCCTTTCGTAACCCCCTCCTCCCCCATTCTTCTCTCCCCTCGCCAGGCGCTCGAGTCTGGGCAGCTGAAACCCGGGGGGCTGATAACGGAGGGCAGTGCGGGCAGCACAGGTGTCGCGCTCGCATTGGTCGCCGCGGCGTTTGGCTGCCGCTGCTTCGTGGCGATGCCGGACGATGCTGCTGTTGAGAAGGCTGAGGCCATGCGAGCTCTGGGTGCCGAGGTGAGTGTCTTGCGTCAGGGTGTTCTGACTAACTAGGGTTTCGGGTTTGTATAACAAGGTTGATGGTGCTTTGTGGCGCTGCCGGATGACGCTGCTGTGGAGAAGGCAGAGGCAATGCGGGCACTGGGGGCAGAGGTGGATGCCCTGCATCAGGGTGTTTATACTCCAGGGTTCAGGGTTTGTATAACTAGGCTGAAGTTGCTTCGTGGCGATGACAGACGATGCTGCTGTGGAGAAGGCAGAGGCAATGCGAGCTCTTGGTGCCGAGGTGTTTGTCTTGCATCAGGAATTCTGGGTTTAGACCAAAAGTTCCCACCGCCCCCCCTCGCGACTCAAAGTCCCCCCCTCCCCCCCCACCTGCACTTTCCATCCCTCTCAGGTGGCGCGTGTGCGCCTGCCCGGTGGTCATCACCCACCCACTCCATGCACTTTGTCAACGTTGTGAATGTTGCAAGGCGGAGAGACCCACAAGTCACTCTACTGGAGACTCAAAAGTCCCCCTGCACTTTCCATCCCTCCCAGGTAGCACGTGTGCGCCCTGTGTCCATCACCCATCCCATGCACTTTGTCAACGTTGCAAAGCGGAGAGCCGAGGAGGCGAGAGGGGGAGGAGAGGCGAGCAGGGGAGGGGAGGAGGCGGAGGATATGGGAAAAGAGGGGGGCGTGCGGGGGGGAGTGATGACAGGAGGAGAGAATGTGACAAGTGAGAGCAGTTGTAGGTATTCCTGCTGCTGCCTTCCTTCCCACACACACACTTGCACACACCTAAAGACACACCTACAGACACCCACGCACACCCACAGACACCCACGTACACTCACAGACACCCACACACACCCACACACACCCACAGACCCCCACGCACACCCACACACACCCACAGACCCCCACGCACACCTAGACACCCACCCACACCTACAGGTACCTACAGAATAGCCTGCTTGTCTTGTCTACTTGTTGCAATATCCATCACCCAGAAAAAGTATCAAGTAGACAAGAACTCGTTCGTCTTCCTCCCCTATCTCACCTGCCTTCTTCTCCCCCTCCTCCTCCCCTTTCTCACCTGCCTTCTTCCCCTCCCCCTCCTCCCCTTTCTCACCTGCCTTCAACACTTCAGCAGACCCAGAGGCCCCAGGGATGCTGCCACTGGCAGTGGCAGTGGCAGTGGCAGCGGCAGCGGCAGCGGCAGCGGTAACGACAGCAGTGACAGCGGTGGCAGGGACCCAGAGAGTACATGTTGCAATGGCAGCATAGATTCCTCTGCTGCTGCTGCCAGCACCAGCAATGCCATTGCGAGGTGTAGCTTGGATTCAAATTCCGCATGCATGGCGGATGCCAGCAATGGCTGCTCTGCTGATGGGCTTGGCTCTCTGGCCAATCCTGGTGTGCCACGTGGCAGCAGTGATGGTTGCAACGCAGTTCTTGGGAGCAGCAGCAGCAGCAGCAGCAGCAGCAGCACCACCACCACCATAAGCAGCAGTGGATTCTTTGCGGATCAGTTTGAGAATCTGGCCAACTACCGAGCGCACTACTGTGGCACAGGCCCGGAGATCTGGAGGCAGACGGGCGGCGCAGTGGATGCTTTTGTGGCTGCTGCTGGCACTGGGGGGACCATTGCTGGGGTGTCGTGCTTCCTCAAGGTGGGTGAGGTGGGCTGATGGTGGGCTGGTGGTGGGATGATGGTGGGGTGGTTGTAAGGGGATAGGTACACCCGGCAGCGGAGAGAGGGGTTTTGCCAGACTAAGGAAGACTGCCTCATCTTGCTTACTCCCCTACGGCATTGCAGGAGCAAAACCCTGCAGTGAAGGTTTACTTGATTGACCCTCCAGGCTCGAGTCTTTTCCACAAGGTCACACGTGGAGTGCTGTACACTCGGCAGGAGGCCGAGGGGAGGCGGCTGCGCAACCCGTTTGACACGATCACAGAGGGCATCGGCATCAACAGGCTGACGGCTAATTTCAATGCTGCGAGTATCGATGGCGCGTTCAGAGGGACGGATAGAGAGGCCGTTGAGATGGCGCGGTGAGTGCGAGTTTTGGGGGGTGTCTGGGGTTACGGAAGGGGGGAGAGAGGGGGGAAGCAGAGCGGGAAGAAGGGGGTATGAGAGAGACGGATTGTGGGTGTGTGCGTGTGTCTGGCCGTGGAACCCGTGTGTCTCGTGTGACACGATCACAGAGGGCATCGGCATCAACCGGCTGACGGCTAACTTCAATGCTGCACGAATTGATGGCGCGTTCAGAGGGACGGATAGAGAGGCTGTTGAGATGGCGCGGTGAGTGCGTGGGTGTGTGCGGGTATACTTGTGTGTGCGGGTATACTTGTGTGTGCGGGTATACTTGTGTGTGCGGGTATACTTGTGTGTGCGGGTATACTTGTGTGTGCGGGTATACTTGTGTGTGCGGGTATACTTGTGTGTGTTTGTGTGTTTGTGTGTGCGAGTGAGTGTGTGTGTGAGTGTGCTTGCAAAAGTGACTGCTGGATCAGGTTAGAATCCCCTATGCTCTCAGCTTAACGGATGGAAAGGCTACTCAGATGGTTTGGTGGGTGGGTGGGTGTGAGTGGGGGCTATGCTTGGGGGAGTGACTGTTAATCAGTTCAAAAATCACCTTGCTCCAAGGGCATGATAGAGGCTGCTGAGATGTCTTTTGCTCCGCGGTGACTGTCTTTTGAGTGTGGGTGTGACATTTAAGTGGCTGTGAAGTAGGGGATGTGACTTCAAAAAATGTCGCTTCCATCTCCTTGTTCCTCCTCCCGCACCTCTCTCAAACACACACACGCCTTTTTTTTCCCTGGGCCTCAATTACTTTCTAGGGTTTGCTTTTTAGTGAAAAAAAACCCAAACGCACGCACCCCTGCATTCCCCCTGGGGCGTAAAGGGCACATGCGGCTCTATTTCCTTTTGCACATCGACTGGTTTGTCATCAGGCCCTCTTTAGCAATGAACTTTGTCGGGGTTTAAGAGAAGACGTGTAAGGGTCCCCCAAAACCCGGCCTCAGCACAAACTATGTTGGCACCGTGCGAGTGGCAGCGAAAGCACTCTCTGAAACGCCCCCCCCCTGCGTTCCCACTCTCCTCCCCACCCCCCCCCCCTCCCTCCCTTTCCTCAGCTACCTCTTGCGCAGCGACGGGCTCTGCATCGGCTCCTCCTCTTCCATGAACTGTGTGGGCGCCGTGCGTGTGGCAGAGAAGCTCTCTCTCTCTCTGCACCCTCCCCTCCTCCTGTGTGCCCTCAGCTATCTCTTGAACTGTGTGGGCGCCGTGCGGGTATCACAAATGCACTCTCTGAAACACATGCCCCTGCGCCCGCCCCTCCCCCTTCCGCACTCTCCCCTCACCCTCCCTCCTTTGCCACAAATGATGCGCAATGACGGGCTCTACATCGGCTCCTCCTCAGCCATGAACTGTGTAGGCGCTGTGCGCGTGGCGGAGAAAGCACTCTCTCATCATAACGCCCTGCGCTCTCTCCCCCCCCCCCCCCCCCCCCCCCCCCCCCCCCCTCCCTCCTGTGTGCCTCAGCTATCTCTTGCGCAACGAAGGGCTCTTCATTGGTTCCTCCTCGGCCATGAACTGTGTGGGCGCCGTGCGCGTGGCAGAAAAGCTGGGCCCCGGGCAAACCATCGTGACCATGCTGTGTGACAGTGGCTTCCGGCATCTCAGCAAGTTTCATAACGAGGGGTATCTGAGGGGGCACGGTCTGTCTCCTACTGCCAAGGGTCTGGAGTTTCTGGGTGGGCGGTTTGCTGAGGGGAGGTGAAGCGGGCACAAGGCACAAGGCACAAGGCACACCATCGTGTCCATGCTGTGTGACAGCGGCTTCAGGCATCTCAGCAAGTTCCATAACGAGGGGTATTTGAAGGGCCAGGGGTTGTTCCCTACTGCCACAGGGCTGGAGTCCCTGGGTGGGAGATTTGCAGAGAAGGGTGATGTTTGAAGCGGGCACACCATTGTCACAATGCTGTGTGACAAACAGTGGCTTCCGGCATCTCAGCAAGTTCCATAATGAGGGGTACTTGAGGGAACAGGGACTCTTGCCCTCTGCGAAAGGGCTTGAGTTCTTAGGCGGGAGATTTGCCGAAGGCGGGGCTATGATGGGGGCACAAGGCACACCATTGTGACCATGCTGTGTGACAGCGGCTTCCGGCATCTCGGCAAGTTCCATAATGCGGGGTATTTGAGAGGACAGGGTCTCTTGCCCTCTGCGAAAGGGCTGGAGTGGGAGATTTGCAGAGCGGAGGTGAGGGGAGCACAGGGCATACTTGTAGGGCCACGAGGCGCAGCATTGTGATTGTGACCATGCTGTGTGACAATGGGTTTTGGCATCTCGGAAAGTTCCATAATGAGGAGTATTTGAGTGAAGAATGTCTCTTGCCGTCTGCCTAAGGAGATTTGCGGAGCAGGTGATGGTGGTACAGAGCAGGCCTTTGTGACACCTACAGTGCCCATGTGCCATGTCTGAGGGCTATTCAAGGGGCTTAGAGCTCTTGCTCACTACAAATGGAATGACTACAAATGGAATGACTTGCAGGCACCAATTCTCTAGTGTGTCAAACTATTATAATGTTTATATTGTGTAGACTGTAGTGGGGTAGCCCATAAGGGGTACAACCCAATTAGGGTTAGTACTTGTACCAACTTTCTTCTCAATGCAGTCATTCCCTCGTCTAGTTTCTAACATGGTTTCAGAACAGGTCCTGTTCCAGGACAGTTTTTTTTAGGGCCCACCGATTGGTTCGCTTCCCATAGCGCCCTACCCCACCAGTCGCGCTGCCCTACCCTGGCCTGCCTGTCGCGCTGCCCTGCTGGCTGCGCGCTGCCCTGCCCTGCCCTGCCCGTCGCGCCGCCCTGCCCTGCCTGCGCGCCGCCCTGCCGCCTGCCACACCGCCCTGCCCTGCCCGCACAGCGCCCTGCTGGCCGCCGCGTCGCCCTGATCTGCCCACGCGCGCTTCCCTAGTGCCCCCACGCCGCCCTGCCCGTCACGCCGTCCTGTTGCCTACGTGCCCCCCTGCTCGTCACGCACCACCCTGCTTTGCCCGCTATGGCTACTCTCAGCGTTCTCACATTCGATCATACGGGCCGTCCGATCCAGTTCGATACGTGGCTCGATGACTTACTGTACCTACTGAGAGATTCTAGAGACAGAGTTTCGTTGTTTGACCACACGTCTGGAGCCTCCCTCGCCCCTCTTGACACAACTAACCGTGCGACTCGCTCATAGTGGCTTACCTGTGACGCTGCTGCTCGCTTAGCCGTTCGCAATCACCTGCCGTTAGCTGAACGCGCTCACTTTGGCCAGCACAAGACTGCTAAAGCCCTGTACGACGCTGTAGTCGCTCGTTACTCTTCCCCTGCCGCTGCTGCTCTCGGCCGCCTTATACTGCCCTACCTGTTTCCCGAGCTGTCAGCCTTTGCCACAGTCGAGGACCTCATCACCCACCTTCGCACTAACGACACTCGCTACCGCGCTGCCCTCAAAGCCGAGTTCCTAGACAAGAAGCCGCCCTCGATGTACATCACTCTCTACTTCATAGTCACCCGCCTCCCTGACTCTCTTCGTGCAGTCAGGGACCACTTTCTCGCACTTGACCCCACAGACCTCACTGTCGACCTGCTCGAGAAGCACCTCCTTGCAGCTGAGACTAGCATAGTCGCTGTAGGTGCTGCTCGTGGCACTCCTCGCACACCCTTCTTTGAGGGGTGTTCCCCTCCCCCCTTGCCCCCTCCTACGCTTCTGCTGCTGCTGTTGACATCCTTGGTACTGGGGAGGTCGGGGCTGCTTCTGCTCCTAGTGGGAAGCGCCGCAGCGGCAAGGGCAAGGGAGGCAAGAGTGGTGGAGGTGGCAGCGGGGGTGGTGGTGGTGGAGGTGATGGAGGCGGTGGAGGTGGCGGAGGTGGCGGTGGGAGTGGTGGCGGGAGTGGGGGCTTCGGTGGCGGCGGTGGTGGCAGAGGTGGGAGTGGTGGTGGCGATGGTGGCGGCAGTGGGAGTGGTGGCGGCGGCAGTGGTGGCGGTCGGGGTGGAGCTGTTCAGAGGGGAGGTTCTGGCGATGGCCAGAGGCAGCAGCAGCAGCGCCCGAGCGAGACCCCTACGCCCCAGCAGCTTCGTATAGAGGCTGCTGCTCTAGGTGCTAGTGAGTCTGCTCACCCTGGTACTGTGCCTGCTAAGGCCTTGCACACCTTCATGCTTGACTCAGGTGCTTCCCGCTGTTTCTTTCGCGGCAGTACCACACTCACTCCACTCCCTGCACTTGTTCCATTCAGACTAGCTGACCCCTCAGGGGGCCCAGTGCTTGCACGTTCCACCACTGTTCTCCCGTGTCCGGCGGTTCCGTCTGGCTCACTATCAGGTCTTCTCCTCCCCTCGTTCTCTACGAACTTTGTGAGTACCGCTGCCCTCTAGGATGCGATGGTCACTACCACCACTCCTGGGGGTCAACGTTTGTTGATCTGCACGTATACACGGACGGGCCGTCACCTGGCCACGTTCACTCGTCGGCCTGGGTCGAGTCTGTACACACTGGCTACTTAGCCTTCTCAGGTTGCTGCGTCAGGTCCGGTAGCACCCCCTTGCTCGTGTCGCCTCCTCTCGCACCAGACTCTCCTGTGGCACCACCGCCTTGGTCACCCCTCCCTGCCACGCCTTCGTGGCATGCACACCCGCCTCCTTGTCTCTGGTCTTCCCAGGTCTCTGCCTCCCCTCCCGCCCTCGCTTGCCCCGCCCTGCCTTCCTTGCGTCGAGGGGCGGCAGCGAGCCGCTCCTCACTCCTCCTCGTTTCCCCCGAAGACTGCTCCCCTGCAGACTCTCCACATGGACGTGTGGGGCCCAGCCTGCGTTAGTGGACAGGGCCATGAGCGCTACTTTTTGCTGGTTGTTGACGACTACACGCGTCACACCACGGTCTTCCCCTTGCGCAGCAAGGGTGAGGTCCCTGATGTCTTGATCCCTTGGATCTGCGCATTCCATCTCCAGCTCCGCGAGGGGTTCCGCGAGAACCTTCCTGTCCTGCGTCTGCACTCTGACAGAGGTGGTGAGTTCTCCTCCGACCTCTTGCGGGGCTTTTGTCGTGGGGAGGTCATCCTCCAGTCGTTCACGCTTCCAGCCTCCCCTCAGCAAAATGGGGTTGCTGAGCACCACATTGGCTTAGTCATGGAGGTGGCTCGTACCTCCATGATCCATGCGGCTACTCCCCATTTTCTGTGGCCGTTTGCGGTCCGGTACGCTGCACATCAGCTCAACCTCTGGCCCCGTGTCTCCTTGCCGGAGACCTCGCCTACACTGCGTTGGACGGGGAAGGTTGGCGATGCGTCGGTATTCCGTGTCTGGGGCTCTCGTGCCTTTGTCCGCGATACTTCCGCGGATAAGCTCTCCTCCCGCGCCATTCCTTGCATCTTCCTTGGCTTTCCCCCTGACGCGCCTGGCTGACAATTTTACCACCCCACCTCGCGCCGTGTCCTGCTCTCTCAGGACGTCACGTTTAACTAGTCGGTTCCCTTTTACCGTCTCTTCCCCTACCTCTCTGCCCCTCTCCCCCCCCCCCCCGCCGCTCTTCCTCGCTCCAGGTCCCCCTCCGGTAGATCCCCTCCCCCCTCAGGGTCCTACTCCCTCACGTGTGTCTATGATAGACCTACTCCCCCTGGCTAAGCCTGTCGAGGTCACTGTAGACTCTGTTGCTGCTGGGGGTGGTGCTGCTAGGGGTGCTGCGTCTGGGGGTGCTGAGCCTGCGCATGCAGAGCCTGGGGGTGCTGAGCCTGGAAGTGCGGAGCCTGGAGGTGCTGAGCCTGAGGGTGCGGAGCCTTGGGGTGCTGAGACTGTGGGTGCAGAGCCTGGGGGTGCTGAGTCTGAGGGTGCCGAGTCTGGGGGTGCTGAGCCTAGGGGTACTGCGTCTGCTGGAGGTCCTACGGGTGCCTCGCCACGACATTCTCGCCGGCGGGAGCCTCTCTCACCGCGGCAGCTGCGCGAGTGGTTTGCTCGGCACACACGCCTTAGGATTGGCGCTGCAGGAGCTGGAGGCCCTACTGCTGGAGGCACTGGAGCTGGAGGTGCCATAGCTACTAGTCCTGGAGGTGCTGGAGTTATTGCTGGAGCTAGAGGTACCGTAGGTGCTGGAGCTGCTGGTCCTGGAGGTGCTCGTACTAGACGTACTGGAGCTGCCGGAGCTGGTGGTGTTGGAGGCGCTGGAGCTGGAGACCCTGGAGCTGGAGGCACTGGAGCTGGAAGCGCTGGATCTGGAGGCACTGGAGCTGGAGGACCTAGAGCTGCTTAGGTCTGGAGTTGATATATTTGCTCTTGACTATGATGCTATCCTTGCTGCCATGTATGCCTTGTCGGTTAGTGCTGAGGGTGATTGTTACCTGTGTGTGCCGCCCGACCCAGGTATAGAGGTTGCTGCTCTAGGTGCTAGTGAGTCTGCTCTCCTTGGTACTGCAACCGCTGAGGCCTTGCACACCTTTACGCTTGACTCAGGTGCTTCCCGCTGTTTCTTTCACGACTGTACCACCCTCACTTCACTCCCTGCACCTGTTCCGGTCATACTGGCTAACCCCTCAGGGGGCCCAGTTCTTGCCCGTTCCTCCACCCTTCTCCCGTGTCCAGCGGTTCCGTCCGGCTCACTCTCAGGTCTTCACCTCCCCTCGTTCTCTACGAACTCGGTGAGTACCGCTGCCCTCCAGGATGCGATGGTCACTACCACCACTCCTGGGGGCCAGCGTGTGTTGATCTGCACGTGTACACGGACGGACCGACACCTGGCCACGTTCACCC